CTCCTGTTGGCTGTTTTCAAGATTTTTACTACTCCCTGACCGTTTCGTAAATTTATCTGTGAGAAAGGAAGTGCAGGAGACGCACGAGAAGACTGGGGCGGGTGAATTTTATGGGTGAAGGCTGATTTTGAAGGGGAAGTGGTTTAGGTTTAGGTAGTGGATGATAACGATAATAGGTCATTTTTCGGGGGGAGTTTGACGACAAAAAAGGAAAAGTAATAGTATGGAAATGGAATTGATAATATTTAGCAAGGGAAAGGGCAAATTTTCGATGTCTCTAGGGGTAGGGCAGTTAAATCACTCCAGTCGTACAATTCTCTCACTATTTTTCTCGTTTTCTTCAATAGAAACCACTGAATTCCGCCCCGAGCACTCATACTCTGGCTTTCTCCAACTCTCAGACCTCTCCCTCAATTCAATTCCTAAAAAAAACTAGAGCGCCATGCAATATTCATTCATAAAAACCTCTTTTGGCTCAACCCAGCGACAAATCATAAATAATAATCGGGTGGGTGGAGAGGTCGGGAAAATTTGGGGTGGAAATTCAATACCACCATCTTTTTGCTTGTGCTTCTTGAAATTGATTCTTGGGTTGAGAAAATAAATATGTAAGGGAGAAATTTAGAATGGATTCGAGGCGATTTTTCAACAGTCGATTCGATGTGCAATGTATCGATCCTCAATTCGATTTATTTTCATTCGATTCAGGACAAGTTCATCACAAGTATTTCGTCAATAACTTGAAATCAAATCAAATCAATCATCGCTTGTGTGGCATGAACATCTCGTAATGAGATTAATCAATAATTATTATCGTCTCGCGAGTTATTCTTTAAAATATCACACGATCTACCCTGAAATCTAGTTATCACATCTCGGTAAATAGTCTCGAAGTAATCGTCAATGATGCCGATAAAGACGATCTCGACAACATCGATAGTCTTCCTCCGGTCCACGAGTGATGACGCCAAGGGTGTCGAATACCCCAGATTCAGATTTAATTTAACCGGGAAAAATAAATGCGGGGGACATTGCTAAAAGTAACGGAATAAATATGAAATTATCGTCTAAAGCTGGTCGACCTTGTCAATCGATACACTTGATCGGCAATTCTGGAGTACTGGTACATTGCTCGATATTTCTCGTTTCTTTGATAGAAAAAAGGATGCTGTGAGGTGGATTGGCACTCACTACGGGATGAAACGAAGATGTTCTGTAACTGCAACGTGAATTACGTGGTTGGCTGCGCGTATAAATGCGGTTAATGGCAGAACCGTAAGATGAGTGCATGCACTACAAAGCATTGCTCTGTCATTTGGCGGCATTGACATTAGGCTTTTGCGGATCCGTGAAATCGGGGTATAACAGGGAGGAAAAAAGTTGATAGACGGAGAGAAATATTTAGTAAAAATTACGGAACTTTCAGTTCACTTACCGATTACGGAGTTGATTCGACAAATTTAAGTGACGTTATTGTTATTTTTCACTGACAATTCCGATAAAAATTACGGAACACCGCGGAATAATTCCGTGACTTTAGATAAAAATTACGTGACAGTTCCGTAAAATTTCCGACAACCACATTTCGCTCCAGAATTACGGAAAATACACGTAATTTTTATTGAATATTTCTCTCAGTGTAGTTGATTTTATTTTTTCAGTCGATTGTGAGATCCGATGGGATGGATGATTGAATTAAGTTGAATTAAGTTGAATCATGTGGAACTTGTCCTCAATCGGTTTGAACTTATGCAATCGAATTAAAACGGCGATTTTAATCGAGCAATCGATTAAGAGAATAATCGATTTGAGTTGAGTTGGAAAATTAAAGTTTTATTTCATTTAAAGTTTAATCTTAAACAAGTTGAGTTAATCGATTGATACTGGTTTCATCTAGGGTTTTCAATTCTCAATTTTTAACGCGTCTCTGTTTTTTTGCGGAATTAAAATCCATCATAAAAGTCCAAGGCTTTCCCTCATAATTTACTACCTTGGTTTTCCCCATTCCAGACAACTTTCCCAGTCTTTTCATCTCGAAAAGAACTGATCCTCGCGCTTGGCGACGTATATCTCTACCTCGGGGCACAACAGACACATAAAAATGTAAAGATTTTTCCGATTGCACTGCACCATGTGCTCCTGCCATCAAACGTACACCTCGACCCGAATCTTTACGATCACAACTCCGTGTACCTTGTAGATATCATATTAAATTTCCTTTTACTCCTTTCTTCGTGGGTTTCCGCATTGTCCTTCAGCATTGATCATCCAAGCCTCTGCAGTTTATCTGGAATAAATTCAGGGATGAAACAAGTGGATGATTACATTTTTTATGAATGCTTATTATTGTTAAGGCATCAGCTATTCACCATCCATTGAATTCTTTTCTGTTCGAATTCCATTCTATTTTTTACTGCTGTAGTGCCATCTTCTATTGAACCGTCAGCAGAAATTTTTCGCTTTATTTCGTACTTACAAATGATTCTATCTTTAGATACTTTGGAGACTTCATTTTGGTTTAATCAAGGTTCAATCAATCAGAATGAGTTCTGTGGAGTCTTCATGAAACATTTGATTTGGTTTGAATGTGTGGGTAAAGCTGGGAAAATTCAGCTTTAGAATGGAAAAATAATTGAATTAATTCGCGAGATGAAGATGCCAGATGGATATTTTCATGGGTGGATGGTCGGGTTGGCTCGGTGGTACTCGGTGGTGATCGGTTGGTAACTCCAGACGCTACATTGCCTCATGCCAACGTCAGTTGACGACCAACCTGGACCGAGTGAACGTACACCAGGATTTATTCGTCATGATCTCGGGTATCCGTAACGCGTGGTGTTGAGTGACAGCTAGGGATTTACGTACGGAAGTGTTTTGTGGGGTTGATGGGGGTAGATTTTGATCGTACTGGGGATTATGGTAATTTTGGTTGGGGTGTTATTGACCTTGATGGGCCACTTGAAATGTCCATTGGAATGGGAGGAAATTGGAGGGTGGTGAAGTGTGACCGATTGACGCATTTCTTTGTTGCATTTTTTTAAAACTCATCTCCTCTCGCGCCATTTTCTGTAATAACAGTAGGATGGAGTGAACAGATTGATTTTCTCAGGGTGCATTTCTCGGAGTTGCAATCCAATTTTTATATTTTTTCTAGTCCGGTAATTTGACGGAGAATTATACTTGGAAGCAGTAAATACGTTTTCTTCTTCGTGGGGTTATTTATCCTTTGAGGATAAATTTTATCGTTGAATGTTCTTGTGATAATTATTCAATGGTATTTTATTGGTTGAATTATTATTAATAAGATATTTGTAATTCTCTATGCAATTGCAATGAAAATTCTTATTCTCTTTTTCAAGTGAATATTGGATTTGAAATTCTGATGAATTGCGAGGGGTCTGGTTAATTCTATTATCATTTCAAAATCAATTCTCGGGAAAACCAGTATTTACCAAAAATTTGAATAAAAATGGGTTGGATCGAGAAATGTAAACGAGTTAACTCAATCACTTCCGCAAATATTTGAAATCACCGATGAAGAATCACGAATTGTGGATTCGTGATAAAATGAAATTGGCAAAGTTAGCCACAGGCACTAGATCACATTGAATTATTCCGAATTTATGTGGTGAAGTACATGGTTTTTTTCACATATGTATACGGAGTAGTGATAAAGGATTTTGTCCCATTCCCTCGGGTCCATTCCGAATTCTGCATATTTGCCTTTGTCCCATTGCTGGTATCAGAGTGAAAACGGATATGGAGTATAACAAACACTCGGGATTTTCTCACGATACTTTATTCAATTTCATGGATGATGCTTTTCGTCGCGTTTTTATGGAGGCTGAAAGCTTCTGGGGGAATTAATTCATTCGGTTCTTGGAATATCTGATTAATTCATTGAGCGAGGAAAATGCACCCTTTCAGAAAAACTTTGAGAAAAGTTTTCGAGTGAGAGGGGAGTAATTGATGAATGGAGGATGATTGCGCTAAATCTAGTCGTCAATATGAATAAGAAACTTTGAAATGGATTTGAGAATTGGTTTGAATCAATTTTACTTTGAATAATTAAGAGGATTTGAATGAAAGCGTACGGAAAAATCTTTACAATTAAGATTACTCGGATGAAAATATTATTTTCATAAAAACAGGATAAATGATTTAAAGAATCGTTTAATAATACGAGGAAAGTCACATGAGAGCGCTGCCATCTTGTCATCTCCCCTCTCTCGGTCGCGAGGAGTCTCAAAAATGGTGGTGCCTCCACCTCGCATTTTTAAACAATTATTAAAATTATTTCTCTTTGTCAATTCACCTCGAACTTGCGTCATTCTATTCCTCTAGCGTGAACCATTTTCTAAACCCACTTTTAGGCATTTCTGTATAGGCTAAAAATTTCACGGATCAATTTTTCCTTCGCATTTCTATAGATCAATGCCCTTTACGTTCTAGCATCAAATATCATTTTTCTCGTTTCTCATAATGAAAATGTAACGAAAATAATTATCATTAATCAAACTCGTCGCCCTATTGAATGCTCAAAGAGACGGTTAGTCACGCGTCGATGTGTGACTCAAATGCGCGGATTAATTTCCCGTTCATATTCAAATATCAATTCTTTTTAATTCCACTTTCATCAACAAAGAGACATGAATACCGATCCTCATTCCAAATGTTAAAGCACGTACAAGCAGATGAAGATGAAAAAAATAAGGGGAATAATAAAAAAAAGGATAGGACAAAAAGGCGATATGCCTGGAGGGGGCATAAACAAGCCAGGGCGAACCTGACGCCGTGTGTTCTAACAGTAAAAGTCCAGCTAGACTACTACGCTCTCCCGATAAAATCCCCCCAGTCTGAGGTAGATACAAGATGCGGTATACCGGTCATTTCTTCGAGATACACTCGTTTATGATTCTGCGCGAGAAAACAAGTGCGTACGAGGCTCGATCTTGCCTTCTTCGGGTGACCAGTAAAATTCTCTTAATTAACAGTGTTGACGGGTTACGGGTTTACATACTTGGAACGTGTACGACAAAAGTGGATATTTCGTTTTTTTTTCTTTTTTCACTCTCTCACTTTTTACTCCACCCTTTTACCCACTGAAATAATCTGGGGAATTATATGCTTATCGTGTTAACTAACTTCATTTTCGATAGGCTCTTTTTCCGTAGTGCAATGAAATTGAGTTTTTATTGTTTCCATTCCGTTAGTCGTGAATGAAAGTAACAGCTAAAAGCCGTTTTTATTAATAATCTCGATTCTTTAGAAATTGATAAACAATTTGAAATTTCTATTCTATTTCCGTGTAATTGAACAAAGAAGGTCTCGAATAACTTCTTCAATAGCTTTGATACGATTTCCGATAGGAACAATGGTTCCTGTTGAAAAAATAATCTCCGACAATGATCAGTGATTCATCATCCTCGAGGTGGATGAAAATGTAATGTCAATGCCGACAAATAACAGAACAGTTGTTCCTGGTGATCGTAGAAATTCCATGATTAAAAATTTTTTAATTAAAAATTGCACAAATTGAATTTCTCCATAACAGCAGAGAATTGCTTTGTGATGGTTACAATAGAATGGCTGCGTAAAAATTATTATACAATGAGATATTGTGAAAGACCTTCATAATCGCTATGATTATGAATTCTTGGCTATCGATGGACATTTCAAAATGGTGAATAACTTTGGTGGTAGTGATAATAATAATAGTTGAGACAGTGAATGGTTGTAATTGATGAGGATGGAGATGCGACTAGACGAGGATGAAAGTGCAATAGGTGATGGTATCAGTAATGGTACATTTGAACCATTGAGTGATTCCTGTGGCGAAAGCGACATGGAGGGACTCGATTTCTCCCTATTCGAGCCACAACAGAGTGACACCGATTATTCTCGTGATATCAGACGTGTGTACACTGGTACACTTGATTTTTTAATCAATTGCGGTAAGAAATATTTGAAAAGCCAGTTTCAAATTGATGCGCATCACATCAGTCGATCATTTGATAGGATTCGGTGATCTTTTTACTGAAGATTAGGTTTAGATTGAAAGGTTATCTAGGGATTTTTTTCTGTTGCTCTTCAAATTTTTACCGGTAAAATCATAATCATAATCATAATCATGATCATAATCATAATCATAATCATAATAATGCCTGGTTTACTTTGAATTTATACGAAGAAATACTGGGGGAGAAATAGAAAAATGTTTGTAACCGGACATTTTCTCGTGTACTCGATGGACAAGAGATTAAGTCAGTCTGACGTGTCATGATTGATAGATTAGGATTATTTGAATAATCAATCTGACCACATCTGATTAATAGAATCTACAATCGAACGCATGTGAAGATGGGGCGGTGGATTGAATTTATTAACTCGTTAAACCATTACAAATTATTTAGCTGGTGATGACTCAGGAAATAGTAATCCTATTCACGGAACTATGACAACTCTTTGTGAACCTGTCGAACTTGAAATTACAGTATACTATATCCTTCGTCCTCCTTTCTCGCGTCATTACCTACTTTCTGATCGACTGGTTTTTAGTTTTATTTTTATATTTTCTTCGTCGTAAACAAGGTGCACATGTGCGAGGCATAGTTTTCACTGTACCGCGAATTGAAATAGCGTGTGGGAATAGAGAAGTCGATAAGATCGATCGGAAAGAGTTTTCGTGTCAGGTTAGGGTAAAAAGAAGGGACCGATCGAAACACTTTTTAATGGTAGAACTTACTCGTTTAGGAACTAAACAAAAAGCTGGAGTTCAAACTGTCACGCGTCAAATAGTTCCAATTTTGGAATCAATTTTTATATTTCGATCCTTTATTTTTACCATCAATTGAATTCTAGTTGGTACACGTTAAATTGATGAATTATTCGAATCTTTATTACATTGAGGAAAGGATTTTCTGGTTGTAAAAGGATTTAGATATTCAATTAAGGCCCGGGTAGACTATCTATCGACCGTCGATTTTTGTTTAAATTTTATCTTTTTAACCTAAAATACATTAAAATTTGGGATCAATTTTGGGTTGCGGGAAGCACTTGAATGGACATGAAAAAATAATGAAAAAGAAGAGGAAAAATTATTGAAGGGCGCTAAAGATCGATATTATTTAAAAGGAATTTACCAAGGTTGCTAAAAAATAATAAAAAATACGTAGCTTACTATCGCATCTAGCTGTCACTCAATCTTCTGGAGAGCGATGGTAAGCTGCGTAATTTTTATTATTTTTTTGTCAACTCGGTAGATCGCTTTTGAACAATATCGCTCTTTAGCGCCCTTCAATAATTTTTCCTCTTTTTTTTTCATTATTTTTTTATAACCATTCGAGTAGCTCCCACAACACAAATTTGATCCCAAATTTTAATGTATTTTAGGCTAAAAAGATAAAATTTAAACAACAGATGACATTCTAATTAATTGGTCTTTTTGTTTTCTAAAGAGAATCATTACCCACGGAAAAGTATAAATTATATAAAAATTAGCGCATATTGAATGTTCAATAAAACTTGACACGACTAGCGGAACACGTTTTATTACGAATATGAAATTTAGCCCCGGATATTGAAAAGCCGTCGACGGTAATTTGCGACAGTGAGGGGGATACGGGATATTGAGAGAGGGATATATATTATTCAGGTGGTTTTCGATATAGTCGTGTTGTAAAACTTGGTCGGGTAAGGTCATCCTCCAGGTGATAGTAGAACTGAGAGATTTAGTATATGCTAATTTCACCGGTTGCTTGATCTACCTGATCTGCTAATGAACGGGACAATCCGATTAAGATAATTACTAGAAAACAAATTTTGGGATTGAAATCGTGATTTGATTGTCAATGGATTAAGAAAATGCCCGTCACGATTTCGCTTGACCTTTCAAAATTTTCTAGGCCTCGCCTTGAATACAAAATCTGATATTTTTACTTACACAATCTCGTATTGTTTTCATTAATTTCACGAAATAATTACCAATGTATAATGATTATTTTCGTTAGTTAACGTTTCATTGGAACTATTTTTACACATGATTTTGCGCGCAGTTGCTGTAATCAGGGAATATTTGATAGCACCGGTAAACCGGAATAGCCTTTACCATGTGAATTACGGAAATAGTTCATGGTTCTGATAAATCCTCAGCACTTGGTACCTCCCGTCATTATTTGCTGCTTCCATAGGCAACAGTTTTGAGCGCTCGATGGAGCTTTTAATTTATAATAATTTACAACATTAATTGGTCGGTTGGCGAATGGACAAAGGCATTGGGATTTGTCCTGGAAAACGTTTTGGATGAGGCATGATGATGGGGTGGGGGGACGGAGGGAGGGAGAGGGAGAGTGGTTTCTCCACTGGAGAATGAAGCTTTACCCCCGGAATTAATTATTCGGAATGAACGTTGCCCGGCAATGTCGAGACCATTAGCATCCGGAAATTGTCGAGGTAGGGCAACCGGGTTGCCTCTCGTTTGGTCCCTTGTCTCCACCTCACCTGGTACAGCTCGATATGCTACAACTACGGCAAACAGTTGTTGCCGACACTCGAGAGTACCCTCCTGAGAGATCTTTAACCCCTTGGGGGTGAAGAAAAGGGGGATGAAAGCTGTTTACGGTAATCCCGGGATAAAAATTCGTTTAATACGAAAACACTTTCGTAATGCAAAAAGTTGATGGAGTTCATTTCGGATTAAAATTTTATTCTCAAAACGGAGATTTAATTTTATTAATAAATAAAGATAAAATTAATAAAAAAAGATCAATTTAGCTGCATATGTAATGATATGAGCGCTGCAAGTAATATATTGGAGTTGACTTCATGAAAAAATTGAATCTCTTTGCGTCGGCGCTGGAATTCATAACTCAATTATTGAAATTAGGCAACAAATAGCACGAATAATCGCTATTCTCGGGACAGGTTTTTTCAGGGTTGATTTCTCTTTACTATGAGTGCGCATTCTATTTTCGCAATTCAATTCCTGAGAGCAAATAGACCACTGGCTGCATAATACTCTTAAGTAAATCAAGTTAAACTGCCGAATCATGTCGGGGAAAAAAATATATATCGCCGCATTAATTCACGACTTGTAGTTCCAATTTGTTCATTCGATATTGATCGAGTTTAATATTTATTCAGTTAATACAATACTAGGTACAACATTACAAGTGTCAGGCGCCAATCTATTTCTGTTTAACTGGCAACAATTTAGCATAATGCATTTGTATCAATGGGTATTTAAACGAATCCCCTTTCACGGTTTATCTATCACGCTGGGTTATTTCATAATTAGTAGTAAAATTTAATCACGGATCTGTTGGATAGTTGTCTGGTATTTGAAATGTGACCTTTTACTCTAGACCACTTGTGGACATTAATACCGCAGTCTCACATATTTATTGACACACATGTTCAATTTCACTCGGTGGTTTTTCAACTAATCTCTAATTTTTTTATTATTTATTTATTTGTTTATTTGTTACTGTTAACAGAGGCAGATTGCTGTGTTGGTGATGCTTCGGGGGAGGCATGCTGGGAGCCGTGTTACTGCGTACTTCTTCAAGATGAACAGACTCTCACTGCCTACAGGAGTGAGGACATGGCGGTGAGTTGTTATTTATTGCTTGCATGAGATTGACAAGGATAAATCACAGCGTTGGGATAATATTAGATGAAAGTTAACAACTATCTTTCGCTTGATTCACGTTAGAAATCATCAGAATACCATTGGGCACGTTAATTTACCTCGTATTATCAAAGCATTTAGCATGCATGCATTCCACTCTGGCCTTTTTAAAAGCTGGTATCAGATTAATTGAACTTTCATTTCACTTGGGAATTATGCAGCAATTTGCGGGGACCGGATGCTTCTTCAGGGGACATCATAAGGTTTGTCCATCATTAATTTTGCCTTAGATCTGATGTGCCTTGGATTAATTATTGATTTCATTAATAGCATGGGATTTGAGTTGTCGACGGTTTAGAGATAATTAACAAATATCGTATGTTATTCTGTCGTTTGGTCAAGCTATAATTTTCCAAATTAGAAGCTATTCTACTTTGTCCTATAACTTGGTAACTGTTGTACCAAAATAGTTTCTTCCGACGTTATCTAGTTCGACTATTTCGACAGCAGTGTTGATAAGAATAGGTTTTCTCCATCTCTAAGTGCTTGAACCACTTCCAATAAAATTCATATCTTTGTCGAAAGTCTGGAGATCAAACACTCGGTGATATTCACCATCAGCAAATCCAGACTTCCTTCTCGATGTTAAAACAACAGGCTCCAATGAACCCATCAGTATCTCCCTGAATGTACAAAAGAATTCCTACCCTAGACTTCACTTGAACTGTCACCTAAAACAAATGAAAAAAGAACAGAGGTTTTTTTTTTTTCGACGGGTTGTTTGACATGCAATAATACTTGCTCCCGTCGGATACAAACCGAGATGTCTCTTCAACAAGCTTGACCACGACGGCCCTTTGAGAGTTAATGGCCTTTTCGTTTAAACTCCCTGTCCAACGGCCATCCACCAGTGCCACAGTTTTAATTAGTGACATCATCCCTCGGTCGATCAAATGAGCGCCGAATATTAAAGCAACTTGAAGGATGGAGTAAGCAGATTCTTTTTGCTGACGAGATAGTTTCTTTGTTGACCCTTTTTTTTTTCCGTCAGACATCTTTTGCTTTCATTATTAATCGCTTCGCATGACACTGCCAACAAGTTGAACATAACTCCTGCATTTTTCACTGTTTAATCGGGAATTCAGTTGTTGTTGTGTGATTTTTTTTCAGATTGGAGATGCGATGTTCGTCGAGTTGCCCCGGGTGAGGCTCGACGGCGGTGCGAGGACATTTCGACAGCACTGGGGATATGAATCTCGGCCTCTGGTACCACCGCCTCCACTCATCGAAGAGGACGAGGGAGGCATCGAACCGGAAACCGTCAGCCTGCGGGAGGCCAACACCGCTTCTCCAATTGGTGAGTTTCATTTATTTTGTATTGTTGGTTTGCTATTGTTCACGTGGGAGTGTGCACCGTTTAGCGCCTTGCAGTCGCTGATTTCACATCGATTTTTACGTTTATCGATTCACCGACTGCAGCAATTGCTTTATTGATCATGTCTGAACTAATTGATAGTTACAAAGATGAATGGCCAGAAAAATTTCCGCTGAAAAACTCGGATTATCGATTTATTTCGGTGCATTATTGTCTGAGATATTTAAAAGATTGGGTTGTCACCCAAAATTTTATCCTTCTGTATCTCATGGAATATTGGACCAAAAAAGGTCGTGATATTTACTTTTTTGGCTGAAATTTCCCTGACTATCGAATGAGACAGTTTTCGTGAAAAAATATTGACATTGACGAACAAAGAAATACCATCAGTCGATAAAGTAGATTGAATGTGTCGTAAAATTAGCCAGCGATTGCTGCATCGTCCCACATGGATAATCACACTAGGAAATCTATCTTATTGGCCGGGATAGGGTAGATATATATTTACCGACGCGCAAGTACATTTAAATAGCATCGATAAGCAAAAAAAAAAATTGAAATGATCTCATACAGAAAGGAAGACACTTATCAAACTCACAAACCGCATATCCTCTGGGCTTTTACTCCAGACAATGCAAAACAATAAGTCGAAATCCCGTAGGGAAGGGAGTAACATTTGACTCCTCATCTTCAGTTACCCATAAGACAATCCGGCAAACAGTACATACACGAGGCGCACCCACGTTATTAGTCAGTTGTGATGAGAGTCATTCATACGGTCGTATGATGAGGTAGTGACATATCTCGCTCGTAATCATTACTCCGGATATGTACGATAAACTTGATACACGGGTTTGGGTACATTATTCCAATACAGATGCATTTAATATGCGACTGAGGCGCGTGACGGTTTCATTTGGACGAATTTTGACTGTTTGAATAAGTGTTTCGGGGACTTTTTCAGGGTTCGTGCTAATGAGAACTGAGTGTTTATTTAATTAGCGACGCGGCTTGTGAAAAATGGGTCATAGGCGAGTGTGGAATAGTATCGTTAGGTGGAAGAGAAGTTTTGAGGGGGAAGATGAGTGGAACGACGAAGAGGGCGCGCGTGAGTTTTGTTTATGGATTCATTTTTCCTTATTATCACAAAAATATTTTTCGTTGTCCGTGGAGAGAAGTGACGCGTAGCAGTTATTTTTCTCAATAGTTGGCTAATTTTGCTTGAATATTTCATATTTCAATTCATCAGGAGTAATTTTATACTATCGCTTGCTCGCCGCTTGAAATTCTTTCTATTTTTATTTTTCATTGTATCAAAGTTGCCCAGTGTAACAAAATTCTTTTATCCATGGTGAAGAATCCGTGACGAGAGGATGGTAGAGTGGAGTCTGTCTTCAGGGTTCTGTTATTTCTATGTAATACAAGGAGACAATGGTCTTTCCCTTCCTCTTTGCAATATGAATCCACCGGTGGACACTCGTATTCCACACATGAGTATTGTGGGACGTATTATTTGACTTTGTCACGTTCAATTATGATTACGACAGTCCTGAGGTGCTATTAGTAACACTCATTCGTTTGATTACGTAATTTTTACCGGGGACTTCATGCTTGGTTTGGAACTTGACGGCTGATCGAATGGATTGGATTTCATGAATAGCAATTGGCTAGTGAGAGGATAATTATTTTTCTCGAGGAATTGCCTTCGTTTTGAGGGACGAGAGTTTTATGATGATTGAATGAGAGAAAGCGGATGGAAATGATCGTTGGGGTGGTGGGGAAATTTACGGTTGACAGAATGGATTTTCTTGATATTTTCTTGATATTTTCTTGATATTTTCTTGTGATTTTCACGGTATTTAGGTTTGATTTGTATGATATCTCGAGGGATTATTCACGAGAGTGGGTTGATGGTGAGATTAATTATTCAAACTGTTGAAATATTAACTAAAGAAAATAGAGATTTAGCAACATTAAATACTACGGGGTAAAATGGACATCAAACTAGTCTTTTGACCCGGAAGTTTCTCCAACGATCGACTGACCCCATTTTTCTCTGCAAGATACTTTCAATATCGTCAAAGGTGTATTTTTAGGCCTTTGAAAATATTGTAAAAACAAAGTGGATGCAGAGAGTGCACTTAGGCTCCTCTCGAGTTCAATGAATAATCTGAAATTGATAGGAGAAAATGGGATTGTATTTCCGTTGTGCGGAAGACAACAGAAAATTATTCTGAAAAAAAAGAGGTAAAAAACAAATTGAATATGACGAGGAAGTAGTTTGCCTCGTCTCTCAGTCTTGTCCATCCTACGCATCGGTTGGGTGACTCATTTGACTTCTTGGGACGATTTGAAAGGAGTGTGCATGTACCTCTGCATATTTTCCTCGTGCTGTTTTTCATTTCTCCGGACTCTTATCGTCCAACATTTTCATAAATCATCGCAATCACTTCATGTTGAGCTGTTAACTATTCCTTAGCTCGACTCCTTTTAACACAAAACGGAAAAATTTTTATTTAAATCGCTCAAGACTTGAGTTGAGGTGATTTGAGGTGATTTGAGGTGAATTAAATTCAGGAGTCAGAGCTCAGCTTAATCGAGTTAAGGAGGCACTTGGAGTACTTGATTTTCTTTTATATTAGGAATTTTAGGCTGAGGTGAACAGATTTCATGGGGCAATCCTTGTCGCAGGATGAGAATTTTCAGACTTTGAGATTATACACACTCGGCATTTCCGTGTTTCATCGCTTTTTATCGTTTCACGATAACACACAGCGGCTCTCAATTCTCTTTTCACTCGCTTCAACTGCTTTCCTCCATTTTTATCGCTTTTATTGAATGGTCAAAACAACAATCGATTGGTTAACATTAAATGCGCAATTGTTTTGGTAATTTGGGTCAATTTTTGGAAGAGATTGGAATGAAATGGCCCGAGTTGTCAGGATAATCAGGCGTTTAGTGGTGATTATCTATTTGTTGTTTTACTGTTTGGTTGTTTAGTTTAATTTAGAGGTTAATATGAGAATTGGTCGATCTGCAGCATCATTTCTGAGGAAAGTGAGGACACTTCCGGCCAGGGGCTACCAACGACACACGATGCAGCCCGATCTAACGGGAATTAAAAATATTATGGTTGATACTAGTCAACTGCATCAAAGTCCTTGTAAGTCTATGAAAATTAGAAAATCAAGTTAGATCATCAGATTTTAAAAATTCCATCAATCACCATAAAATCATTCACACTTCCACAGTTTTTTCGATGAATTTTCACAATTTCATCAATTTAATTTCAATTAAAAAATTGTCAAGACGAGTAGATAAATAGTTGTTATTATAAAAATTGGGGGTAAATGGGAAAATGGTGGGGAAGGCTGGAAAAAATATTTAAATTTTATATTGAGAGTTGTGGTGGAGGAAATTAATATGCAGAGTAATTTCGTGCTGAATCTATGACGTCAAGTATTCGATGCGATTTTTACCCCGTGTGTTTATCCGTTGAGCATTGGCCCACAGCCAGAAGTGATATTTTTATATGCGCCAGGCAAATGAAACGATTGTAGATATACGCGAAAAACTCGGGGACCTCAAATCCCCAGTATTACACCACTCGTTACGATTTACGTCATATACCGAAGAGCAATAAAAAAAAGGGATAAGTAGGACTTGACGTACTTGACCCTATTATTAGTCATTTTACTTGATCGGCCCGGGTAAAAAAAAATTGTAATCGGAATATTTTTGTTCGAATTTTCAAAAAATTTTGGGAAAACTTTTCAGAATTTTTTTTTTTATGAAACAACAAAAACATCGGTAAACAAAATTATTTTATTTTTCCGAAAGGTTTTGAAAAATCAAAAAAGTAAGAAAACAACAGTATAAATAAAAGAAATTATATTCGCAAAAATTTCTAGAAAATTATGAAAAAAGTTTTCCGAAAAAAATGTTTGAAAAATTTTTCAAAACATTTCCCAGAAATAAAATTGTTTTATTTCCCGATTTTTTTCTGTTTCAAAAGATAAATTTTCTGAAAAGTTTTCCAGAAATGTTTTGAAAATTTGTAAAAAATATTACGATTACAATTTTTTTTTTACCCGGGTGAAGAAAAGAAAGAAGGAAAGAAAGAATCGTGGAAATCCAATTTTTTTTTTGAGGGGAGGGGGGATTTATGACTGAAAAGAGCCCCTTGCCATCTCCTAGTCGAACCGGAAGTTCTTTCCATTATTCGATGGGGCTATTTTCGCACCCCCTTCTCTCATCGTAAGATGAAAATCTAAACTGCCGTCACGTGAAAATATTTCCCATAATAACCGCCATTGTTGAATCTCAGTGAGATACATTTGTATTTGTGCAGTGCCGGAGACGATCCGGCGATTTAACATCCGGTGCTCCGGAAGTGGAACGGGTGCGAAGTCCCGTTGGCTGTGAAAAATAAAAAAAATAGAGAAAAAAAAATAAAGAGGAAACCCGTGCGCTTTCACCCGATTACGTATTATGTGCACCAAGGGACAATTCTTTTGTCAATTTTTAGTGTCAAATTTTTGTCACAACGATTTTCAATTGATTTTTTTATTCGCCCAATGGGTCCGTGAAAATTCCGGAAAAATAGGAAAAATTTATTGAATACTTTAATGTCGAATGAGCCATTTGTTATCTTTTATGCAATAATTTTTTTTTTTTTATGCTTTCAGGTGAGTCAAAATCTATGTCTCTACCCCGAGGGTTTCCCCAGCCCCTACCTTCGCCAATAAGTGAAGGTAAGACTGAAAAATTCTCATAGGCCCCTCAAATATCATTTGATAAATTTAGGAAGAAACCGTGAAATGTTTTTAGATAATTTTCTCGGTAATTTATGGAAAAAAAAAAAATAGCACTTGCGGAAGTGGCTCTCGGTAATTAGTCTTTCCGCAATTTTCCAGAGTGTTGGGTATTAAAGGGAAAGATATATAAAATAACGACGACACAATGGCTATTGGGGATTCAGTGAAGTGGGTGCGCCTTACTTTCTATGGGTCACAAGAATCACAGGTTTTATTTAGCACCGCGGTATTCACCTGAGTAATAGGCTTTTGTATTTTCTTAAGGTGATGCTCTCACATTGTTTTAAATCGCGACAAATTTTCACGTCGTCAGCTGTGCGGATTAATTGACGAGGGGAAAACCACAAAGAATTAGCAAAAACAAAAATTCAAATTCCAATTCCACAAAATGATTTTTCAATCTTCTCAATTATCTCAAAAAATTATGACTTCATCTCGTCTTAAAGACAAAACTATTCTAGTTAATTATTCTCTATTTCGTTTTCATTTCGGGGATTCATTATTAGCAAGGATTTTTTAATTCCATTCGTTTTTTTAATAAGGGGCATATGTTCGAGGCATAAAAGACTCGTGAGAATAATTGTCGCAAGACTTGTGATTAACCTGCGAGCTGTTTTTTCCACTCAAACAAACAATTCAGTCTCTTTCACTCAGTAGGGAAAAAAAAATGGCGGTGAAAGCGTCTCAGTCGGATTCATTTCGTTGGTAATTCATGGAGGGATTATAATTGAGTAAACATTGCGTATTTTTTAATGGAAGAAATCGGGTTTTAATCCGTCATAAATTCTTCAGCATCTCGAGAAATCATCAGCTGTTGTGAATGGCGGGAAAGCGAGTAGTTTCCAATAGAATCGATCATTTCTGTGATAGATATTATATCGTTTTCCATGTCATCGTTTCTTCGTCCAGGACATTCGTTTCAGCTAGTAGATCCCCAAAATCTTAGCAATTCGGCATCTTGAATTCATCAAACCCAAATTTTTCCTCACAACCCAACAATCGCTCCACACACTCGAGCCTTCCAAAAAATCTCTCAAAAGCCCCTCAAATTTCATTGTACAGAATTTTCCGGTTCACTCAGTGGTCGGCATGTTCACCTCGTTCCTTTGTCTCAACCTCGAGATCTTCTCAAATACCCCCCCAGTAAGAAATAGAAGTTTTCAAGGACAAAAGCATTGAGCTCCAAAAAAAGCCCAAAAAAAGAGCCAAAAAAAAAATGTAATCCGTAATCGTGTATCCTCGGTGTAGCCTAGATCGTTTAATAGGCTAAACTGGTCATTTTATTTTAATTCATCGTGCCAGTGGAGAATGAAAATGGAAAAACGTACGGATGACACGATATGTTGGACGTACCGTAGACCTGCATGCACACGACGCTCTAAAAATAGTGACCGGCATAAAACCGTACAGAACAAACTGTATGGATTGAAGAACTCAGCTAGCAGGTTTGCGTGTGCTGCGTATGTTTTTATCCGCATTATAACTATTCGAGGTAACATTGCGATATACGAGGAGTGGGGAGGGGGAGGGGGCAATAGGGTAGCTAGGGAAATAGTTATGCGGGGTTTTAGATAAGAAAATGTCCAGTGTATTTAGTTTTCCACCTTGAGAGAACATAACGCGAAATTGGAATAAAAAAACGGTTAACGATTACGTTAACCGGTTAATTATCATAATAAGTACCGGGAAAATTATTTTTTGAATAGGAATGAGAATGGGGGAGGGGGAGGGGGAGGGAGGGGTGATGATTTGGATGTTTAATGTGAGTTTTTAAAGGGGAAACGTAGGAATTTTGATAATTAATTGGTAATTTTAATGAGAATGGGGAGAAATGGTAATAGATGTGTGGGTGATAATTTTGATATATCTCAATTAGCAATTTGACGGGATAAAATGATTGAAGTAAATTGAAGGTATAAGGAGAGTATAAGAGAGTATCGGAATTCATCTTTGGTCAACCCCAGTAATGATATTTAGATTGATCCGTTAATTGAACAAGTTCAAAGCAACAATTAGACCCGACAAAGAGGATAAAACAAGGGATTGAAGAGACTCGGGGGACCCAGACAGCGTTGCACGGGTTCACCCGAGTCGTCACGATGCTGCCTCCCACCTCCATTTGCTTTCCCACTGGCCGGCAGTCCAGTTCTTTCGTGTCTGCAGACACAAACGCGTGGTACTCCTCGAAAATTCCCCTCAAAACAGTTGAGAGTAATCCCCACGGAAAACATCATCTGAAAAAAATCCAATTCAAAACTCTTTAATCACATTTTTTTGAATTTCCCGCGTTTTTTGCGATTAAAAAAATCCCTGGGAAACGTAATAAATCACCAGAACCGCGAGTCCTTGAAAAGGGGAAAATGAAGGGGTTAATTGATGAATTTCTAGTGAAAGAATTGTGTTAGAACATCTTCAAGATTTCGTGAGGTACCTTTTCCCTTGGAAATGTCTAGAAAATTTATTATTATTAGGAGATGATTGGGGTCTTGGTTAGGTTTACCTTGCCTTCGAGAAAGTCCCTAGAAGTTGCGAGAAATTTAGGGAAACCTTGCAAAAAACAATTTCTTACGGGGGAAATTATTTTTTAGAGAATTTTGAAGTTGACATGATTTGGTAAACACAAAAAAGTAGTAAAAATATGAAGATGAATTCTAGAATCGTCATTAGCGCTTCATCAAGGAAATTTAACACCAGATAATGAGTGAAGTGCCTCCCAGAGATACCGTATTTACCCATCAGATAAGACAAGATAACCGAAATGGCAAAAATATCGTTGAAATGGGAACTATTACCCCCAAACATTGATTTCAACAATTCCTTTTCATAATCTGTGAATCTCAGTAGTTTCGGTGGCCTTGGACGGCTCTCGTGTTTTACATTTCGAGACAGATGCTCTAGAAAGATTTGAAAAATGTAGTAGTAAAGGGACATGCGAATTTTTAAGAGTGCAGTGAGATGTAAATGAAAGTAGTGAATTTTTTGTTTTTCATTTTAAAAGCGCTCCACACGGCTCTCGTGTTTTAGTCCTCAACGAATGCTCCAAAAAGATAAAAACAAGATAAAAAGCCCCACTACTCAATTTTCGAGATAGGACACGTGAAAAGTGAATTTTTAACAAGAGAGCATTCTCTCAGTTATTCTCTCTTCTTTTCATCAAGTCTCATCCGCGTTAGACATCTCTTCTGTCTCGCACATTTTAACCAATGTTATTAAAATATTAGCAAAGGCTATTAAATTCCCAAGTAGTGAATTAGCAGTAGTGACAATGTGAAAATGGATTTTTAGCTGATGAGAATATTCTCTCGTTTTAGTGATAAAAAAAAAAACATGCCTTGGACAGCTGGAGTGTCTCATAGTGTCTGTCTCGAATGTTACAGAAAGATTGAACAAATCCACATAGTGAAGTTTCAAGGAAAAAAAATGTGAAAAGTGAATTCTTTGCTGGAGAGAAATCTTCCTTTTTTACAGTTATTTTTCTTATTTTTTTTTTTCTTTTGTAAAGTTTTATGCGGCTCACTGGTGTCCTTGGCGTCTCGTGCAGTTGTGTTGCCATTGCGCGAGCATTTAACCGCAGGGGTTTTCGCGTTTCTTTGCACCACAAAACAAAAGAAGTGGTTCGTTTTTTTTTTTCGGTTACAAGTTCTTTTTTTTTTGGGTTGTTTTTCGAAGGACTTGCTTCACTCTGTGAGAAAAATCGGGCGGAAGTGATTTGCTGAGGACAATTGTCACGTTCCGGGAGTCAGGGACATTAGATGATTAGAGGTGTGATGTCATGACTGACTCATGATGTTGAGTGATTTCTGTCAATTGTCATTGTTTTTTTCTTAGGGGAATTTATCGCGAAGGCTTTTTAGAGTTGTTTTTTGGATTTTCTTCGAGGGGTTTTAGACGCAGGTGGGGATGGAAAACGTGTGGGGGCTAGGGGCTGTGTAGCACCTGTTTGAGTTGTCCAGGTGGTGAACGGAGGGAGTGAGCACCGGTTTTATTTCCGTTTTGAATTTTTATGTTTATGGAGATCCTTTCGTGGTGTTTCATGCTTTGTTTACGCAGTTTTTTATGCTGCGGGGAGTTGTAATGATTCGAGGATGTGAAAATTACAGAGTGGAAATTGTTTTTTGCAAGTTCCTCCTAGGGTTCAACTAAACACTCGATAATTCCAATTTTCAATTTATTTCGAGTGCGATTATCTCGGTAACCAGTGAGTTTAGATGAAAAAGTGGAAAGAAATTTTATATTTGAAATAGAATTTTCTACAAAAAACGTTTCAAGACATTCTCTCTAAAACCACTCGTTGCCGGTATAATTGGTAGGCAACAGTTCTATCAAAATTTGGAAAGGAATTAAAAATTGATTCGCCACCCGCAATTACATAATTGCTAGGGCCCATTTTCGAAATGAGGAAATGTAATTAAACACTTGAAATCTCCTTGACCGTAGAAACCCCCATAAATCACTCGAGGCAAAAGAAAAATGAAATAATCCAACAACGCCCACGACTGTTTCCAGTTATTGGACCAGTCCCCAGAGTATTAAATTTCGCCGGATGTCGCATGTGTCGGCCTGAGAATGCCAAAACACTGATATCAAAGTCGTCAACTCCATATTTTTTTTCAATCGTTACCCTCTTATGTTAATGAAACGAGTGTTGTGAGTGAGATGGGATTAAATCGAGAGAATATCTTCACGTAGGTTAGGACAGGAAGCCCCAGGTAGTGACTTCCGGTGGTAGTGGTAAATGGATACGAGTTATTCGATATTTTTTCTCTTGTGTCTCGGTGAGGAAGTGAGTGAATTTTTTTGGACGGTATTACGCGGTTTTTTGAGGGAATGAGGATGCAGTCTGGAAATTCTACCATGGAAGCAACATCCCCTAGTGGACGAAGACTTTCCAGGAGTTTTCACTCTTGTCTCAGAGGGGCAGATACCGATGATCCAGAATCAGGTATTTTTTTTTTCATGAAAAAATTGAGAATATTGAGAATTTTAAGAGTCGCGAGGAATTGAATAATAATATTAATAGAAATAATTTTTGTATTATTATTATTTCTGTTAATATTTCTTTCATTGGGGAGTAGTTAAGTGGAAAATTAATGAAAATATCCCTTTGTGTGAATATTGAATCCAAAAATTAATGCTATTCTGAGATTTTAAAAATATTATTGCCTTTATCTCGTAATTACCGGAAGACGACGGAAGACACTTCTAATGACTAGCGAAGGCAATTTTCGTAGAGGCAAAATCTATAAATAGTGTGAGGTCAATGCATCTTCGGTTTTTTAATGACGACGGGGGGGGGAGACAAATTTTTTACGCATAGAATTTGAATTTATAAAGTCAATTAATTCAATTAATTAAGTCAATGTTTCAATTATTGAAATAATTGAGTTAATAAAAATCTATTGAGTTTTCCGGATCTCCGGGAGTTGATGGATCAATAAAAAAAAATGATCAATTGCAATTTTTCATGACACGATTGACAATCAATCGATTATCCAATCTTTACGCAATGACAATGAAATACCGTAGGTTGTGCAATAATTATACAAGTGTTTCTAACGGTGGCATAATTAAATCGCTACCACCGTGTCATTACGTAATTTCTCGAGGATGAAACCCAGAAGGTAGATTTTTATTTCTCTCTAATCATCGTTAAAAAATAATGACAGCTTAGTCAGAAGATCGATGGAAGCGAATCGACGTGAGGGGGTGGCCAACAAGTAGAATAAATTGACGAAAGTGGAATGAAATTATTTTCATACATTTTATTTGCGAGTGATTGAGGTCTACTTTGCGTGGGGTTTTGCGAGAGGGCGAGACACATATGCATACATGATGTTTTTCCATTGCTACCGGTCCCTCAGTTGTCGCATATTTACTCCTTCGTAACGATCTCTCAAGTGAAGTTTCAGTTCTTGTGGTATCAACTGGGTACCATATAAAATCGCTTTTTGCGGTCTGTTGCGGCGAAACAGAAGTTTTTCGGTTCTTTTTACGGGCGGTTCTTTTTCTTTTTCGATTTGCTCCTTTGGTTTAGGGCAATTTATCTCCTCGAGGATAAACCGGAGACGTGTGGGACAGGTTTTTGGGGGATAGAAGGGTGAAATACCGGTTAAAAAATGGCAATGAAAGAAAAGTTGATGAATAATAATAATAAAACATCCAAGAAGTGCGTTGAACGCGGGAGTTTAATTTTTTTTAATTTTTCCTCAATTTTCCTTTCAGTGCGCGGTTGAAAAATAATTGTTCGGGGTTAGGCAGGTTTTTTTTTCAGTGGTGGAACCATTTTTTAGGGGTGAAAATATCGAAAGAGGAGATTGGTATCGGATATTTTATTTTTGTTCTCATATTGAGCAATTTCGGAACAGATTTTTTTAGGCTAGTTTCAGTGGGTTTTAATGTTCCTCTCAACCGAGAGGAGATCGTATTGTCGGGGTCTTTATCGCTTCTTCCGCCTGTAATTCTGTCGTAGACTTCGCTTAGAATAATAGTTTTTCCTTTGTTTGGTTTTGCATTGGGGTTTTGAAATTTCCATTCTCTTGGCTTTACGGAGAAATGGAGATGAAATTTTTCGAATAGATTTATCGTTTATCTCTTCCCTGTGGTTTTGAAAATTCTTTCTTTTTTGAGTTGAAAATGTACTGAGGCTTTTATGGTTCGTTTTTTTATACGGAGTATGTCTTTTTTTTATTCCGTCAAGTCTTTTTGTACCGCTGTTGAGGTTTTAAGTGATGGAGCAAACGATTCTCTGAATAGAGTGACGAGCAATTGACGGGTGAGGGGTGGGGATAATTGGGGATTAATTTTGTTGAATTGTCGGGTTAATTTCGAATTCAGAACACCGGTGTGAGCCTGTTTTGCCCCGTTAGTTCAAAAGACACGGATCGATGAACCGAAAACGAAACAGGGGACTATATCGAATGTCATCTTTTGTTTAAATTTTATCTTTTTAGCCTAAAATACATTAAAATTTGGGATCAAATTTGTGTTGCGGAAGCTACTCGAATGGTTATAAAAAAATAATGAATAAAAAAGAGGAAAAATTATTGAAGGGCGCTAAAGAGCGATATTGTTCAAAAGGGATCTACCGAGTTGACAAAAAAATAATAAAAATTACGCAGCTTACCATTGCTCTCCAGAAGATTGAGTGACAGCTAGGTGCAATAGTAAGCTACGTATTTTTTATTATTTTTTAGCAAACTTGGTAAATCCCTTTTAAATAATATCGATCTTCGGCGCCCTTCAATAATTTTTCCTCTTTTCTTTCATTATTTTTTCATGCCCATTCAAGTGCTTCCCGCAACACAAAATTGATCCCAAATTTTAATGTATTTTAGGTTAAAAAGATAAAATTTAAACAAAAGTCGACGTTCGACAGATAGTCCACCCGGGTCTTAAAGAAAAAAATAAATTCTAACTTTTAAATTAATTAGGCAAAACGAATTCGTAATCGCTAATTGGAATCGAAAATTCGTCTGTCGTTCTGATAAGATTATAAAGAATATTATAAATACTGGACATGATCGAATTTTAAATGAGTTTAATATTTGATGACGCGTTTTGAGAATTTTCCTCGATGCTCGATGCAATGAGTCAATTATTTCTGTGAATACAGTGTCAGTGATTATGGAAAAGTACATTACAGTATGTGTTCGTGTTTACAAACCAAATCGTGTTGATAGAAGAGAGGAGGAACGATTAATTACTAGGAAGAGGCGTACGTGCAATTATTCAAGCTAATTGTTTAACTTAGATCTCTTTTATTAACACAAAATTCACCAAAATAGAAACCCTGAATTATTCATCTAAAAAATCCCTTTCCCTTCGTTTTTCTATATTTTCATATTGACTCCTGTAGGAGACACAATATTCAACGATTATTTAATTATTTGATCCGATCTTCCATTTATTGTTAACAATTAAACTTTGGTTAAAGACTCGATATAATATAAGCAGGTTGTGGTAAATTTAATGTTGCTTGCTCGAGAGTTCGTCTCCAAGTGTCCTCGGTCATCAAATCGTCCAGGGTGTCAGGTCTACCCATTAAACAAGGCCCTTTGTCTATGAGGTTGGTCCACGTGTTGGGCTGTTTCGTAATAAACAGCCTAAATGTTTCCATCATTCCCTCTGATCAGTCACAACGGGTCTCTTGTTCATTTTAACGTCGAAAATATTTCCAACACTCGTCATTTTTTTTTTTTTTCGGCTCTCGGAATTTTTTATAACAATGTGATTTTCTCAGTCAACATTGAAATCATTCTGAAGAATTTCCCGCCGTGTATTGATAAGACTGATATGGTCGGAAAATCATGAAAGAGTTATCGCCTCGAATCGCTGTTTATTTTGGCGTCCCGCGGGTATTAGTGTCCCCAAAAGTGTTCACACCACCTCTTGAACCTCCGACATAACAAGTATTACATCCTCAAGTTGAAATACTCATCCCAGACCCTTTAAAAGTCCCGAGGGAAATCCTCAAAGGGTTTTTTTTTTAACCGCATGAAATAAATCCCGGGACCCCTCGGAATAGTGCGATCTTCGATACTAACTCAATTTTATTTCGGTAGAATTCCCCGTGGTTCGTTAGTTACCGGCCAAAGGGCCATAAACTCGTTGATTCTAATTTTCTTTAAAGGGCACGGATGAGAGGATAAAAATAATCTCATTAGAACGAGGGGTGTTTGAGGTTCGGGACAGGAGCCATAAATCCATTTAGCTCGGGGTTCATTTGCACAGAGGGAAATTGTTTAGAAAAATTATACGAGAATACTCAATTCGTTTAATTATCTATTTTATCAATTATCAATTATCATTCGTTTAATTATCAAAAGTAAATTAATTTAGTATGAAAAGCGTTTTGGTTTTTTTTTTCTCAATTAATTTCCAAGTTATGGATTACTTTGTAGCTTTTTCAAAAAGGAATACACGTGCACTGAGTTGTTTTATTCGAGCCCCTGAATAAAACATCGGAATTGCAATTATTAATGTTTAAAAAAACTGAATGAGCCCGACTCATTGTCCAGGTGACTGGCCACTGGAGAACTCGTTTACTGAAATTTTCATCTCCAATCAAGTTTTTCGCGGGACAGCATTTTCGCCAGGGGGTGGGTGGCTTTGATATATTTTTTTTCTTCCCCCTCCACCGGTTCACGATCCAACGTGCACACGAGAATTTAATGGGCTTGCTGACCATATCCGTAGCTTTCGCTCCAATTCCCTTGCTCATGGGTTTTGGCATCGCTAATGAATACGACAGGAGATATTACCGAAATAAAATTGGTATTTTCATGGTTGAGTTTGCATCAGCTGTTTTCAATCTTAATTACTCATAAACGTCATAAATATACGATCATCATTAACTTTGAGCACTGAATTACGGTTTAATCGGATGCCTCATTGAATAGTCAAGAAAAATTTCATATAAAAAATTCTGAAATTTAATTGATTTGCACAAAATTATTTTTTCTGTCCCAAATAATCTGATTTGTAATATTTATTTGTTTCAGGTGAGTCAAAAATCACAACACTACCTCGTAACACCTCGCGATACTCTGGTTGCACCAACCGGTCGATAGGTAAGACAATAATTAGAATTTCTCGTCGCTCACATCAAGTTGCATTTCAATCTAGAATCACGCTTTCAATGTCTATTCGCGTTGTATTACTTTTGCGCTTCTCTCGTGAGAACAGAAAAATCTCGTAACACTGTGGACACAATGCCGCGCAATGTGAAAGGCTATACGACTTTATAATTGATCCATTGTCTCTCGAATGCATCAGGATGTTATTTTAATGGGTGTCGAGGTTCATTCGTTAATTCAACAGTGGGATATTTCATTTTACGAGTTGATTAAATTCTCTACATTCATTTCATCAGCTCGTGTGCAATGAAAAAAAATTAACGCAAACCGCGAATAATTATTTCAGAGTCGATAAACTTCAATTTCTCTCCCAATTTCAAATTTCAATTCACTTCATTTAATTGTGCACCGAATTTTCCATTTCAAACTTTCTAAAATTCTTTAGAATTTCTACATTAACATCAGTCGGTAATTATCATCGGTCGGTAAAGAAATTTTCGATTGAAGTGAAATCTTGAGGTGTTTGTATTATCGATAGAACAGCGAAAGATAAATTAGATCTATATCGCATGAGGCAGGCGAATAGGCCCCTCCATAATTAACGCGAAAATAATAACTGATACTGTCCAGGGAAATAGAAAAGGCGGTGGAGATATTTTTTTTATGATAGAGTTTCCGTCTATGGGGGTTGAAAAAAATGATAATAAGTGACTTGTGTATTCATTGCGGCGTTTATCGAGAGCCATTAATGGTGATCCATTCCTTTTTAAGATGGCACGAACACCGGATTCATGTTTGGGTCGTTTATGGTCTTGGACCCATGCTCTCCTGAATTAATAAGTCCATTGACCGTGAAGGATGAACACGTAGTGATGCCCACAAAAACTATTGCTCAAAGAGGGAGGGGGGTGGGTGCATTCCTGGTGGTTTCTTAATTAGGTTTTGCGGGTAATTTCATGAAGTGGTTAATTAATACTCATGGTTGAGCTCAATATCACAGTTGGCAATGCGATAATAGTTTTATTCGTCGAACTGTTGATATTGGGCTGTTCCAAATGGCGGCGGTTGGAAAATGGCGGAAATTTTGCGAGTTTAACCTGTAGTCTTGACCCATTAATCACCAATTATTCACTTTTTATTTTTAATACGCGAGAATTTTATAGTTTAGTGAATGATATTAGAATTTGGGGGCTACAAATTTGGGATTGAGAGATCTATGATAGAATTGATAGCCTGAGATCTGGTTTATTACATTTGCTAAATTGGAAAATGAATTTCCGTTGTTTTCATTACTCGAAAGAGAAGGATGGCTTCCATATGGTACGGGTTTCCTCCTTGAGAATCGATGGTATCGTTTTTTTATTCGTTGTGAATGTGTTACTTAACACTCGTCTCATTGTCGGAGAACGTTTGCCGTTCGAAAAATCTCAGTTTGTTTCCCACACGTGCTCGAGTTGGGCCAGTCACCTCCGGTGAGTGGTACCAGATCCAATGCTTGACCTTCACTAACAAATCACCCATTGGCTTTCTCTGCTTCCACGAAAAAATAGAACAACTGTGATTCATAGTTGAGTTTTTGAATAATTGATTCATCGGCAGTTACACTCTCGTCAGATAATTATCGAAACAACTACAATCTCTTGTCCAGCAATCGGTAGTGAGTTTCCGGTTTATAACACCGATTATGAACCCGTTTCAATCCGTTATCATTTCTTATCCAAATTATCATTTATCCATCAGACACCATTTCCTAATTTCATCTCGATGAAAATATTCAAAGACTTCTTCTCCAGACCTGAGTACCTCAAATTAAACGGGTCGGGAACTCGTTTGGAGGAGAGCATGTCTACGGGGTCCCCTTGTCGCAGTTGCACAGTCACGTATTTCCCCTCCCACTGGAATCCTCTTTTTTTTTTTTCGTTATTTTCTTTTTTCTTTCTCTCGTATTCACAAACGTGGGGTACAAACACAACCGCGATTTCATCCTCGTCTCACCTCTGGTCGCCGAGACCAAATGCATCTTCTGGATTTTCTCTCGTGGCCATCTTTTTGTTTAGGGCAGTACCTTTTATGCTTATTTCAAACAAGGTAGTCACGAATTGGCTTTTCTCAGTGTTCTTTGGTGTTTCACTCTGTTTTGTTATCCTCGGCACACTGCTGTTGGACTAAAGTACTATTCGTTTTATCTTTTCCTTTCGCTGTTTGGCGCTTTCTGTGAAATAGAGGCTCGTTCTCTTATGTTCGTGCGAAAATCTGTAACACGTCAACCAAACGATTCGTCTCGAACACGTGTTGACCATTTCTCTTTCAACTGGTGGGAAGGCAGTCAAAGGGTTTTTTTCTTTGCAGTTCCACTCTTTTTTTGTGTACTAAATGGCTAAGGACTCATCATGAATAATCAAGTCGACAAAATAGTTTGAGTTAGGTTGAATCAATCGAATCAAGATTTCAATCTGATTCTAGTCAATTCGGACTGGAGCTTCCTCTTGATTCAGGGTGATATCAGTTTGAATCGTCTCTTCTTGATGTAATTCATGAATCAAGTCGAAAATGGACTGGAACCAGTTTCAAGTGTTTCTTGATGAAGTGATTTTTAGAAGCTGTCTGGGGAATTCGTCTCATTCAACGCCCGTCATTTTTTATTCTCGCGTATTTCTAGCACCGTGACCCCTGAAATGACATACAAGTGAGAGGGAAGTCTGATGTGAAGGAGGAAAAATAAACGTTTGAAAAAGAAAATTGGTAACGGCTGCGGGAACATGAAGAATGGGTTCTAACATTTTTTTCTTCACAGACTTGTTCTTCGGTCGCATAACGTGTTTGTTGGATCTGTAGAGATGTGGTCTGAGCAACTTTTTTAGTTTACTGTTGTTACTCTGAGGGATAAAATTCAGTTCCGTTCCGAGGATTTACTTCGGAAGAGAAGAAATATGCATCACAATTAAGTAATTAATTATTAACTACGGGCTCTCGAGGTCATTAAAATCAATTTGCTGGAGGGGAATTCCAAATTTCATGAAAAAAATCCAAAGAATTTCAGAAATAAAATCCGCCGCGAATCGATTAATCAATTTTTATCGCTCCTATCGGGTTTTAAATGAATTCATGAAAATCTCCGATTACTAAACCCCCGAAGCACTCACGGGATAAATTATTGCGTCATATCATTCGATCCTTACAATATTGAATTAAATTAATTAACTTTTCAGACATTCGTTACAATGAATGAACTCGTAAAAAATCCGGGAGTTATTGATTATTTTTTCTCTGTCATGTCTAGTGAAATCACGGGAAAAAAATGTGGGGCTTTCGGGATGAATTCAGGTAGAAGAATTTCAAATGTAGATAAGTTTTTCTGAGGTGTTTGTGTAAGGGCGATGAGGTTGATGGGTTTGAGGATGTGAATCGGCAATGAAGTGCACGTGCTTTGGCAACGAGATGACTCGGCCCGGACGACAGCCACAGGAAATAACGGCCTCTGAGTGTTATATATTCGTTTCCATCCACTTCCGGAGTACATCGTGCCATTTGCCTAACCCATTTTAAACCCCATTTCTTTAGTTTTCTGCATCTTGGGTGGTGCACGGGATATTTCAAGTTTATTTTCATAAAATAAACGCCATGTCCATGCGTCACTGTTGTGCGTCATTTTCCCTGGCAAATGACCGAGTCATCCGGAAATTTTTCACTTTTCAAATGAAACATACCTTTTTTGTGTGTCATGTCCCTTCAGGGCGAAAATCATTAACCATGGGTTTAATCGTGAGCCGATCGTTCATTCGGAGATTTCCGTTTCGACACTCGGGATTTGAACCCGTGTCATGGGATGTTTGAAAATATTAAAAAAAATTATACCATCTGTTTCATTAAATCTGTGATGCAAAATAGGTCTCTAATAGGATTTTCTATCGGACATTCCTTTTGGCTCTCTCGAAGTTATTGCATTCAAGGGTTTATGAACGGAAGACGGTGAATTTAGCGAGTTTATTTTCGCGATACTTTGAGTTTACAAAATGGCATGGCGGCTGCAGCTGTAGGCTGGCGCCAGACTCCCGCAATTCGCGTGTATGAAACATGAGAAAACAAAGAGAGTTAAAATGCCCCTGGGTTATACCCTGAAAAGCCGGACCAAACTGAATAAACCAATGGCAATAAATGAGGAAAAGTCATGGGATAAGGCCAATTCCCGGGGCTTTTCCACTCATTGGAGGTAAACAAAGGGGACGAGGGTCGATGACAAAGGGACAGGATCAGGATACGTGTGCCTCGCATACTTATAACAAGAATAAAAATCATCATTCAACTCGAGAATAAGAATTCTCTCATTTCCTCTTCACGCGCTTCATCCAAAAATTTTGTAGTCGCCTCCATCTTTTATTCTCCACTCAAGAAGAACGGATTTTTTATTTTTCTTCTTCTTCATTGAGTAATCGCAAAAGTTTTCGCTTCAAAGCTCCAGTTGTGAATCCATTTTGTTCCAGTCGTTTCTCTGAAATCGATAAGACGTTGTAAAATTCAGATTTTCTTCTCGAAATTATTTTTAGACTATTTTCAAAAGTTTCAGGGCAAAAATTGGGTCAAATCAATTATAATTAACCCTCATTTGACCTATCGATTTGACCCTCACTTTCTTCTCCTGAAGTTCTTCTCTTCCGAAGGTTAAAAAAATCATCTTCCGGGGATTTTTATGTATCAATCGAAAAGTTGTGCCAACCGATCTTTTGGTGGTTATTTTGATAATTTCGGATGATGTTTGGGTGTAAATTTTTTTAACACCGTGGAATATATATCGAGGGATATTTATTCCTCTCACCAATGAAAGGTTAACCCGTACCATGAAGAAGTCTGGTTGAGTCCAGTGTATTTCTGTATGCAGTTTCTTGGCATCAATGCCACGGCTCTCGACATTAGTAAATCCACCGCAGTGTGGCGCTGTTTTATACCCGTTACAACTTCCACGACAAACATTCAGAGACTAAAAGATAGTCGTGTGC